TCACCAACAGCCTGTACAATATACAGTGCATAAAAGGGGAAAGTATTTATTGCCCCAGTTTAAAACGGATAATTATAATAGCTCATGTTAGGATGCTTGTCATCCGAATACAGTCCAACCCATGTGGAGGGACAGTTGATTGGGGATGCCTGTTTCGTAAAGGGTTGTCCACCAGAGATGGGAAGAGTTACCTTTATGGACTACACGACCCAGAATCTGCCCCCCAAGAGCACAGCTGGTGTTATAGTGCATGAGAGATTCTAGGAGCTGCACCTTAAAAGCTCAGCCGTGGACATTTATCCAACCCTGTAAAAGCACTGCTTGCCATCTTTGGGTCTCCAGATGTTCTTGGACTGCAAATCCTGGCGGCCTGCACAGCTGGTGGTGAAGGCTTCTGGGAGTTGAAGTCCAAGAACATCTGGAGGCCCAACGTTGGGGAAATAAGGATTCTTAGAACAGCCAGCCACCAAGCAATCTGTTAGAACATTTGGCCAGTCATTCCTGACATGCTTTTTGCCGTCTTCCTCTCTTCTGCTTTAAGGAATGGGTTTTTTCCCCCTCCATTTTCCAGAAGTGTTAAACTGTCCTCACTCCGTGCTGCCTTTCCCAAGGGGTTCTTGTCGACTGCATCACCCCTCTGTACCATGTGGAGAGTGGTAGTTCAGGTCTTGGGTGAAATGGGCCATCCGTGATCCTCCAGAGGTCACTGGACAGTCGTTCCCATCATACCCCCATCCATGGCTGTGCTGGCTAGAGTTGATGGGATCTGTTGTCCAGCAGTGTCTGGGTGGGGCCCCAAGAGGCCAACCCGTAAAGGATTAGATTCGGTTGGGAGACCGTGTGGGATCCCCAAAAGGGTACATATTTCAGAAGGCTGGCAGAGCAGAAAGCCAGCTTTTCAAAGGCAGAAAAGTCTTCCTGGCTTTATTTATTTTTCCCCCACCTTCCTCCTTAAAAAAGACGAAAGGCAGCTGACATGATTAAAGAGAGAGTATTCAGAAGTTGAAAACCCTAAGGCTCCAAACATTTGAAAAAAGAATTTTAAACAAGTATTATATATTTTTTAAAAAAACAGTGGATAAAATCAATACCCGGCCGAAACACATTCAAAAATCGACAAGAGCACAACCATCCATTTAAAAGGATAAGCAGTTCCGTAGCGTGCGATGCTCTGGGTTTGATGCCCATGGGCCCATGGGCTGCTCAGAGCTGTAGCGCATTCACGATGGATGTGCTAAGATGCTAAAGAGACCCTTTTTCCTGGACCCGTGGTGCGAGCTTGAGAAGGTCTTCTCAGGTCGCCTGGACGCTCCTAGCCTTCGACCCTGGGCAATGAGACAGGCTGGCTCCACCGAACCAACACACAAAGACCTTTTTTTTAAAAAAAAAATTCAGGTCATCAATGGGTTTCTAAAGTGAAGACCAAACTCGACCACCCTGTTCTTTTCTTAATGTGTTTGGACATCCCCCTCATCCTGCGAGCTCCAAAAAATCATATAGCATTGCATCCAAACGAATCTCCCAATTTTTTCCCTGCCAAGAGGCTCCCTCTTAGGCTTTTCTAAGATGGGCGGGATATAAATCAAATAAATAAATAAATAAATATTTTAAATAATTATATTTTATTTTCCAACATAAAACTTAAAAAAAATATAGATACCACATCATGTATCTTTAAGGTGTAAACATAAAGTAAAAGCTTAAGCTGCAAGCGATCTCATTTATTGGTATAATTTTTTTCTGGTGAGATCCTGTCGGTACTATTCATTTTAATTTCTTTATTACGGGACTTTTGCTCTCCACCAATCATAAAATAAGTTCCAGCTAAGGTAAAAAGTTGACTTTGCTTGTCTCTCTTTGTTAATCTGTCCATTTCTTCCTAATATTCTCTTAATAATCACATCATCCTTTGGTGGATTTTCCTCCTTGTGCCCATACTAATGTAGCTACTGTCAACACATGTAGTATTAAGTAGTAGCTTTGTGTATTTATATTGTTTGGTAATAATCCCAATAAAAATATTTCTGGTTTAAATTCTATTTCCTTTTTAAACCGTTGCTTAACCCAGATATGAATTTTAACCCAATGCTTTATCGCACGTCCACCATCCATGGTAGTAAGTTCCTTCATGATTTTTGAATTTCCAACACTTATGCGACATATTTGGAAACATTTTTGCAAGTCTGGCTGGCGGCAAGTGCCAAAATATAGAACATTTTATATAATTTTTCTTTATAGGGTGTTGCCAATGTTAACGTGCAATTTTTTGTCCTCAGTTTTTGCCTCTTAGGCTTTTCTCACACATTGTATCTTGAATAGTCAGTTACAGCAATCTGTATTTTTCATTTTTAAATACCTGACAGCAGTGTTCCACCTTTCTGCATTACATAAGAATTTATTGGCCCTTATTCATTTGCTTTAGTATTTTTCTCCTGGTCAACCTCTCAGTTCAGGAAATTCTTGGCATTCTGCAATAAATCCACATTTCAAATATTTCCATTTTTAATATATATACAGTATATATAATATATATTATATATATTATAATAATAATATATAATATATATAATTGCTGGTGTTCAAGGTTGTGATTCAATCTATGCCATACGGTAGATCCAAGAATGAATAGCACTGTGCAATGCACATGGACAAAGCAATATATAATTGTATTCTCGAAGGCTTTCACAGCCGGGATCCGATGGTTGTTGTGTTGAGTCCGGGCTAGCCCCTAGACTTTCCAAGTCAAAATTAACTGCCAATACTGTAAATCTTGACTCAAGAGAGAGTTCAAATAGTTACTGTTTTATTTAGCTAGATAAAAAATATGGCAGAAGTCATGCCTCCATGTGTAGGCAGAAACAACTGTGTGTTGTAGAGGAAGACCAGGACTTCTGCAACATTGGTTACACAAGGGACGGGGAGGAGGAGGAATGGGTGGTTCATGGTACAAAGAAGTGGGGTAGTTCTTGACCTATTGGGAGAAGGGATGGGGTTACAAAGGACTCCAAAACTTTATAGGAGTGGGAATCACAGAATGGATGGGATTTTACAACAGAGTGGGCCAACAGACAGCAATTATGGAAATACACGGTTACATTGTTGTGTTGTATTGACAGGAAAGCAATTTATTATTTTGCAAAGAGGTTAGGAGGTTGCATGAAAAGGAGACTTCCAAGGGATAGGAAATAATGTTTGAATAGCCAAAGGTTTTGTGCAATGACTGTCCAAGTACTGGAGTTCAATGAACATGAGGTTGATCCTGCTGTTTGCCTGAGGGGAGAAGTGACAAAACCCAGCTGTGCCTCCTTGCTTCTCCAATCTAGATTGGAAGGTGAGAAAACATGCCCTGGGGAAGGAAAACCTGGCCAGCCTTATTCCTCTACAGAGACTCTTTGAGGGAACATGTACCTATATGTACAAAAAACATGTGCCTATATGTATAAATCTTGCTGTGTTTTATCTTTCCAAACTGTATTCTGCGTGATCTGATTAGCGGTGTGTTCTTGCCTGTTTCATGTAGTGCCTTATGGTCCCTTCCATTCTAGGTTTTTCAAGCTGTCTGGCCATTTTCTTGAGGTTTTTCTTCCTAACATTTCGCCCGTCTCTGTGGCCGGC